CAACTCAAACTTGTCCATTCAGTACACAACTAATGACACATAATTTTTTACACGTGATGTGCCCTGTGTCAGATATATATATATATACATATATATACATATATATATATATATATATATATATATATATATATATATATATATATATATATATACACACAATCTCTAGGTTACTATGAAGCAAATATTCTTCAATGACATGCAAGATAATGCTTTGCTGTGGGATGGTCTTTATGTCAAATGTGTTGCTGATTGGTCAATAAATAAATCACTGATTGGCCCGTGGCCAGGCAGGAAGTATAGGCGGGACAAGGAGGAGAATAGAGCGGGGAAGTGGAAGGCTCAAGGAGAGACACGGCCAGCCGCCATCAGGACAAGGAAGATGTAAAGTACCGGTAAGCCACAAGCCACGTGGCAAGGTATAGATTAATAGAAATGGATTAATTTAAGCTGTAAGAACAGTTAGCAAGAAGCCTGCCACGGCCATACAGTTTGAAACCAATATAAGTGTCTGTGTTTACTTGATCGGGTTTGAGCGGCTTGGGACTGGCGGGTGAGAGAGATTTGTCCTGACTGTGGGCCAGGCAGGAAAACTCTAGCTACAAATGGCGTCCAACGTGGTGGCAAGAGTTTCCACCTAAAACCTGAAAAAAGATTCTAAAACGGAGCTAAAAACAGCTTCCTAATTGTCTCTCTCAAATGAGCGGCAGCTGCCGGTTTGAGCTACTGGCGGGTTGCTGGCGTGCGCGCTCGACCTGCAGTATGGCGGGAATGAGGCCTCTGCAAGTGGCACATTAAGCTACATTGTGGATTTAGCCTTTGTTAGTACAAAACAAAAAAAGAGGTTTCTGGGCTACACACTGCTTTGATAAAAGCGTAGACCCACTATTTCTGAGACTTGATGGTTCCCAGAGCTGGCGGTAACCGCCATGTTGGGAAGCTAAAGTGGGCGGAGCCAGCAGCCACAGTGCCGTTTCAGGCTTAGAAGGCTGCAATTTAAAGCAACAGGTTTACAATAAGACAGATTCAGATGTAATAGTTTAAAATGTGTGTAAAATATACGTAGGCTTGAAAGAGACAAAAAAAAGGTGATATATACAGTATAGAAACAAATACATGATTTTAAAAAATAAAGTCTTTAAAGAGACAGTAAAATTAATATAAAAAATAAGCCACGTGAAGATGAATATTACACAGAGAGTCTGGATTGTGTTGTCTTTGGGATTCTTAACTACAGAGAGATATTTGATTGTAAAGGAAGCTGAGTTAAACCAGTATGTATATTTTAAAGATACTTTGACTTCAAAATTTGGATGTAAGGATATGTTGCTTTGGAAAAGAGTCTCTTTTGTTTCCACAGAAAGCCAGAGGCTATGGATTTGCTCAAGATTAAGACACATCAGGTTTGACCAGCCAAGACCACCTGAAAGGTCTTTGATGACACCATGGCCCAGATGATCCAACATCCAGAACCGTTTCAAGGCAACTGGCTCAGATGATACAGCCTCACGGACTACTCCATGATCCTAAAATTTTCTTTGTTTCCACAGAAGATACAGCGCCCCCCTCCAGCAGGAAGTAGTAAGAGAAGCTACGCCCAAATTCCCAAATATACCAAGCTGACTTTGGAGATGTGTAAAGGTTAAAACCTTCCTTTTTAAGAAAAGAAAAGGGGAGGTGCTGTGGGATGGTCTTTATGTCAAATGTGTTGCTGATTGGTCAATAAATAAATCACTGATTGGCCCGTGGCCAGGCAGGAAGTATAGGCGGGACAAGGAGGAGAATAGAGCGGGGAAGTGGAAGGCTCAAGGAGAGACACGGCCAGCCGCCATCAGGACAAGGAAGATGTAAAGTACCGGTAAGCCACAAGCCACGTGGCAAGGTATAGATTAATAGAAATGGATTAATTTAAGCTGTAAGAACAGTTAGCAAGAAGCCTGCCACGGCCATACAGTTTGAAACCAATATAAGTGTCTGTGTTTACTTGATCGGGTTTGAGCGGCTTGGGACTGGCGGGTGAGAGAGATTTGTCCTGACTGTGGGCCAGGCAGGAAAACTCTAGCTACAATGCTTCCCAACAAAAACTTTCTGAAGAATGAATTGGCTTGTTATCTTCTGCTCATACACTAGCTGGATATTCAAAACACAGACTGCATTGCAAGAAAACAACAAGGGGTTGAGTTTTTATTCTGGAAACAACTGGTTCGACTTTTACAGAGAAAAGAATAGAACAGCAAGAATGAATAGAAAAATGAATAGAGCCAGCAAAATGAAGCCCCAGGACTTGGGGACCAGTAGGATGGAGCTCCAGGTCATGGGGACTAGCAGGTTGGCATACCAGGACATGGGGCCAGCAGGATGGAGTACCAGGTCATGGAGATCAGGATGATGGAGAACCAGGACATGGGGACCAGTAGGATCAAGTACCAAGACATGGAACCAGGAGGAAGGAATTTCAGGACATAGGGACCAGCAGCATGGAATACCAGGACGCAGGGACCAGCAGCATGGTGTTCCAGTATATGGGGACCAGCATCATGAAGTCCTGGGCCATAGGGACTAGCAGGATGGAGTACCAGGACATAATAACCAGTAGGATGGTGGACCAGGACATGCTGCATGAGATAATTTTCCTCTTTCAAGTTTGAAGTTGGCCAAATGTGAACACATCCAGGGGCGTTCTGACACTTTCAATTATTGCTCTCAAAAGTCAAATTCAATTACTCAGTTAATAGTATATATTTGTAAAATTGGTCTTTAATGTTGGGAACAAATATCTCAAAATTATTGTCTTTTCAATTCAATATCAAACAATCAATGAGAGAGGAGACATTTATCAAGACATCAATTTCTTGATTTTTGATTCTAGATAGAATTATCGACACAAAATCTCATGATTAAACAAGGTGTTTATAAATAGCTACATGAGATACATGGGTAAAAGGAAGGTTCCTATCTTGACCAAAGTAACTTAATTGTAGATCATACTTTATGTAATGGATATCTACTGAAAGTCAACTCTTGGGTATGGTTGGTAAAAAACAACTTTAGTTGTAATTTCTTTCTTTTAAGTAGTTTTATTATTGCTTTTATTCATGAAAATATTTTTCTGTGCCAAATATTTTATATAACATGAATCTCTTTTTAAAAGATTTATTTGGCCAGGCAGTCGTAGTACACACATTTAATCCCAGCACTTGGGAGACAGAGGCAGGTGGATCTCTGAGTTCCAGGACAGCCAGAGCTACACAGAGAAAACCTGTATCAAAAAACAAAAACAAAGACAAATGATTTGTTTTTATATTATGTGTAAGATTGTTTTGCTTGCATGTGTAGTATATGTGTGCCTGGTGTCTGCAGAGTCAAGAGTGCACCAGAGCCCTTGGTACTGGAGTTACAGATAGTCATAAGCTGCCATGTGGTTGCTGTGAGCCAAACCTAGATTCTCTGAAAGAGCAGCCAGTGCTCTTGACCTATGTGCCATCTCTCCAGCCCTGAACATGAAATGATGAATTTTTATGCATCTGATGTGATCCTTAACTATATCACCATAATTGTTTAGCTCTTTAAAAAAAACTTTCATTACATTGTGTGTGTATGGAAATCAGATGATAACTTGGGAGAGTTGATTTTTCTCCTTGTACTTTGTGGGTCCCAGACATCAAATTCAGGTTGGGTAGCAAGCATCCTTACCTGCTGAGGCATCCTACTGACCCCAATACCAGTTTTTCTTTACCTCTTGATTTTTAGAATCTCACTAGACATATTTATATGTGAAGAAAAATAAACAGCTTTTCTTAACATAGGCTTACAGTATAATCTAAACATGATTTCTTACTGAACATTACTAAAAATAACAACATGGAAAGGCACAGGGAACTATATTGCATTTTTACTATCCCCAAGACTCTACTCTGAGAATGTTTTGCTTGTTATTTCCTAAAAGTGAAATGAAGAATAATCAATCTGTATAATTAGAGAATTTAGATTTGAGATTTTCTATGTTTTTGAGTTGTGGGACAAAGTTAAATCTCCGTTTTACCTTCTTTTTCCTTCTTCCCTACAGGCATATATCATGCATACTTACACATGCACACACACACACACACACACACACACACACACACACACACACACACACACCTGTACATATACATACATACATTCGAATGCACACTACTGTACACAATAATCATGCATGTACACACACATTCATATCTATATGTCAGATAACAGGTGACTCCCTTCTCTCCCAACTGTATGTTATGATAAATCTGTTTTCAAAAATAAAACATCAGGACCTTTTCAGAGAATTAATAATACAATGAAGAGCTAGAAATTGTTTTTAAAATACTCAAATTAAAGAGTTTAACTTTTGTTTAACTATTCAGAATAATGCCATGTGAAACAAAGCACAAATCTAATTTATCAGTCATCTTTGCATCTTTCCTTTTACCTTTAATATATTTAAAAATTGTGTTCTCTGGATTTTGTTTTTCATGTGTAACTTCAATGGACTCTTACACTGTCTGACACATTTCTTTGCTTTAAAAATAATGTAATCAATAATCTGGGCGAAAGCATGAGGCAAGCATTGACCAGAAACTAAATGTTCAAATTATCCTTTGTCCTTGTCTCCCTCTGATGAGCTGATGAATGAGAACGCAGTTAGCGACATCACACTAACACAATTCCCAAGCAATCTCTTTGGACAAGCATGCCTTAGACATAAGAGGTGAATCCAATTTCAGCATCCCAGTTTCACATATGGAATGTTGGACTTGTCTATCCCTCTTTAGAGTCATTAGACAGGAGAGAATATATTTTGACAACTAGAATACCATTTTTGGAAAAATTAGAATGCAACCTTGAGGATTATTTTCTCCCAGAATCAAGTGGAGCAAGATGTGTGTAATTCAGGTTGCTATTCTGTACAGCGTAGCTGAAGACCATGATTCCCATGCAATTACAAGATGAAAGTGAGATAAATTGGCACTCACAGTTGTGGCAGGTGGCCCCGCTGTATCCTGTCTCATCACAAGTGCATTTGAAGCTGTCCCATGTTTGCGAGCACTTCCCACCATGCTCACAGTGATTGGGCACACATCTGTCAGAAAAATAGACACAGAAATAAACCAACAAGCAAATGAGATTTATGAGTGGCCAAATTCCAAGCTGTTTGGGCAATATATCATTTCAATGCCAGGTTGCCTTGCTGAGGCAATTAATCCTTGTTAGTTTAAGCAGATTAATATGATTCATGATGGAAGGTGCCAGGCACACAAAAGATGATGTATCACAGGCCTGGTGTTTCCCCTTTTTGTATAAACCATAGACACTATCACACAGTTGACGGGCTCCTTTGCATATCACAGATGCATTTTAGTTTAATTCAACAAAGGACAAAGATACCACCAAAGTTTCCTCTTGGTGAGAAATGGAGGATGAGTCATCTGAATTCTTGTCCTATTTTTACCTTTATCACTGTCAATAGCAGTAAAAGGGGGGCCTGGTAAAGAGTTTGCCACAACAACTTGGGGTTCTGAAACAATGGCGCGCGCACACACACACACACACACACACACACACACACACACACACACACACAAAATGGAATATACCAGCCAGATAGGAGCCTCAAAAATCTCCTTCTACACCCATCTAGATAGTTAAAGATTCCTGCTTAAAGTGTCTACAAGCATGTTAGGAGGAAAAAGCCTACTTGCATACAAAGCTTTACTAGGCAGATAATTATGACTCAATTTTTCTGAACCTTGATTTTCACATTTGGAAAATCAGGCAATTATACCTACTTTGTGAATAGTTTAAAACTATATAATTATTAATTTAAATTTTATTTTTATATTTATCTTTATTTTTACATATGTGTTTATGTGAACGCAGGTGTCCACAGAGTCCAGAAGAGGGTATGGGATCCACTGGATCTGTAGTTACATATGGTCATGAGCTGCCTGCAAGACCAACTTGGCTCTTCTGCAAGAGCAGTAAGTACTCTTAACCAGGAAGTCATTTCTCCAGCTCCTCAAATTTTATTTTATAGATGATACACAAAGTGGGAACATTGTTCATAAAATTATTTAGTACATTAGTACATTTATGTATATCATACATTAAATTATTTTTCCCTAGCATATAAGCATGTAATATTAATTAATGAATAACATAAAAAATTACATAAATGATCTACAACATGAATATTAATCAAGTAAATAAAATTAATGCATGTAAGACATATCTGCGTTATCTTACATACACCATATAGTCATAACCCTGATTGTCCAAACATCTATCCCCTTCCCTATTTGGTTTATTAATCTACCATCCTCTGTGAAATTAACAACCCACCCACCAGTATCCCTCTTCTCGCTCCAGGCCTATCTGTGGATATTAGTGGTCTACTGTACTGTTTCGATATGTTGTTCTCTTTGTGTTATGATTATGGTTATATGTATCTATCTCTTAAATGTTTATCATTTATGGTGAAAAATATTCAAAAATCTTTTCTTTAGCTTTGAAATGCATAGAACATGATTGTTAGGTCTAGTCACCACACACAAGTACTTCTTTCTCCTATCTATCTGTAACTTGACCCACTAATAAACCTTTTCTCAGCCCTCTCTAACCCCCAGGCTCTGGTCACCATCATTCTTTAACCTTTGATGAAGTCAACTTTATCAATGAAATGATGTGGCATCTACATTTCTGTGTCTGACTTGTTTTAATTCAATTAATAATTTCAAATTCAATCTATTGCATCACCCAGTGACAGAATCTCTTCCTTTTATATCTTAACAAAATTCCCTTGTATACATGAACCTTTAGAGATAATGTCCATGAAGTTGATAATTATTAAGTAGAAACTAGAAGTCTAACAAGTGGGAATTATAACCATCTGGACCACCTCTTCCCAGAAACAATTTCTTACCTTGACTTTATCCTAAAATTATGGTTAGAATGTGGTTTGAGGCATCCCTGCATTAATGATACATTTTCCTTTATGCTTGTACCATCTCTTTGCCCATCGCATCCATTTCACTCTCCAAATTCCCTACATCTTTCTTCTTTATACTGAATACTAAGTTGCTCACAGTTTAAAAGGGAGAATTTAAGTAAGAATTTTGATATTTTAATCACAAACACCTCAAAATAGAAATTCCCTCCTGATTTAAAACAGCAGAATCTACAGAATCTACAGTGGTTTCTCTACAGAGAACCATCCTGTGAGTAAACCCTCACTCATAATGTCCCAGGAGCTACTAGCTATAAGATCTGACCTATTTGATCTCAGAGACCAAACTTCCAAACCTTTGCTCTTAATTTCCCATCAGCCACTCCTGAAAGCACCTGCAGTAGGGCATACAGCTCAGTACGACATGGTGGATATGCTTACCAAAGTAAATACATTGTAAATAAGAACTCTAATGAGTGTGAGAATGGGAATCAACACAGAGTGGGTAAGAGAAGTATTATAGAATCTCATAGGAAGCATTCAATGGGCATTGCAGGCACAGTTTAGAGGTCTAAGTTGAGCATCTAGATCATGAAAGAAGAAAATAAGAGCAATCATTATTGGGTTGAAATAGAATTTGAGTAAAGGCATAGCCTTGGGTAGACAGAAAATCCACATTACCCTCAATTGTCACTTTTTTTTTCCTGTGATATGGTTCTGGTTTTATGTAGGCCAAAGAGATGAGCCTTCTCCAATGATCAATGAATCTAGTTGGAGGTTGGGGTCAGAGCAAGAGTCATGAAAAATATCAGGAGTACTTGGATGAGCCATGGAACAGATATAAAGTGCTGTAGAAATTTGCAAACTGGGTTAGTTAAAAGCGGAGAACTTATCCTTTTGGAGGAGGGGATGAGGGTGGGTGGGTCAGGGGGATTAGGCGGGGTTGGGGGAGAGGGAGGAGGTATGAGAGGGGGATCTGTGGTTGGTATGTAAAATGAATAAAAATATTTTTAATGAAAAAAATTAAAAAGAAATCTGATAATGTAAATAAACTTGATCCCGATCCCACCCCTCCCAAAATGGAGAGTAATTAGAGGGTTTAACCAAGTTGGGAATATTTCATCTGGATCATAAAAGACAGGATGAAATATGATGATTAAAGTGTTAAAAACTGGCCCTGGTAGAACAGGACAGAAAAGTGATGAAAATGAAGTATAACAGCAAGTGGTGGGGGGTCCTGGTTTGTTCATCATGGCCGTGGCACAGTCACTGTACACTGCAGACCCCACAACATGGTCTGCCCTCCACAGCAGGTGCTTACAACCAACAGTCCTCATTTTCCACATCATGGAAGAAAGTTACTGAATGGAGACCTCTGACATCACAGGAAAACATATTTGATACTTAATCTTGTAATTCAGTAAAGAGATATCCTTTGGGTGGTATATTTAACTTTCCAAATTCTCATGGGTTAATATTAGCTCAGTCTGGTTGTTAAAGTCACTTGCATGAGCCCATCATACCAATTAATTCAGGGGAAGGCAGTGCAGAAGTGGGCAAGGGAAACCAAGTTGGAAACTAAGGACGCTTTAAATAATGCTCTTTAGAGAATGATGAAAACATAAGTGTGGGAGCCAGATGGTGGTGGCGCATGCTTTTAATCCCAGCACTTGGGAGGCAGAGGCAGGCAGATCTCAGTGAGTTTGAGGCCAGCCTGGGCTACCGAGTGGGTTCCAGGAAAGGCGCAAAGCTACACAGAGAAACCCTGTCTTGAAAAAACCAAAACCAAAATAAAACAAAAAAGTGTGACTTCAACTCCATGGGAAGCACAGAACCATCACTGAGAGCGTGGAACTGCCTGCTCCTACCAGTCTGCAGCATGGATTCCTTTTTAAATAATTGTTTTTACGCAATGGGATTTTTATATTTTATTCTAAATATTTGCTTCTCACCATTTACATTTTTTAGATTGGTGCTCTCCTTGTGCAGATTCTAGTTCTTAATGTAGGACATTAAATAAATTCCTGAAAACAAGTTGATTCATATTATGTCATCTCATACCTAATATCTTATCGGTATATTTCAAGCTGTTAGAACCCATTACCAAGAGAAATAAAATAAAATTAACCTAATACTCTAATTAGAGTTTCTTATCTTGCATTCCCATAGAACTACTTGCATGTATCAAATACACTGTTACCATGTCCCCTAGCAATTATTTATTGGTGTCTCCATCTCTTCTATCTGGATGCTCCCACAGTGAAATGTGTTTACTTAGAGTTCTTTGCATAATGAGGTGTGTATCCCATGCTCAGCATGTCTGGAGAGAGACACAGATGCATGAAATGCCACAAAGTTTTACCACCACAGACATAAAAATCACTTCAAAGGTAATCATCTCTTTGGCTCTGAGGAAAACAGATTAATTTTACCTAGGATTTTAGTCTTAAACATGGATTTGCTCTAATAAACCATTTTTTTTAAGTGGGCCACAGGAAATGTGTAATTTTCTTCATGGCATGTGCTAGCTTGAAAGTTTGATTCACATCAAAAATAAATCAAAACGATTTGGCTGCTTCAACTTGAGAAGGCTTTGGCCCAGGACTGGGGACATGCAGGGCAGAAGTTGGCAGGTGTCTATTTGTTCTGATCAGAGAGTTCTTGAAGAAGTAGTGTGCGCAATTACCCATTCCAGCCAGCCTGCTGTCTGAGACTCTTTCAACTGGATTTATCCTTGTAGTTAAAGTTTTGCAAGGTGCTTTAGAGTCCAAATTCATTCTTAAAGTTATATTTCTTATCTCTGAGGATTTCATACATGTACATGATGTATTTTGGTCATATTTTACCACCTCCAGCTCTCCCCTAGTCCTTCCTTGCATATTCTTCTTCTTCTTCTTCTTCTTCTTCTTCTTCTTCTTCTTCTTCTTCTTCTTCTTCTTCTTCTTCTTCTCAACTTCATTTCCTCTTTCTTTTTAATGATCCAATGAGTCCAGTAAGTGCTACCCATCTATCCATGGGTGTGGAGCCATTCTTTAGAGCAGAGTCAAGGATCAAGGATCAAGGATCACAGCCTGAAAGAAAACTGACTTTCCCTCCATTAGCAGCCATCAGTGGTTAATAGCTCCTCTGCTAGCAGA